CAGCAGCACGAATAATAAACCAATGGCAATTAACGTGGCTAATTGGGCGACATAACCTTGATCCGCCACGTCCACATCAGGTTTAAACCGGATATCCAAGCCCAGCAACGGCGATGTCACTTGACCCACTCGGCGTGAATAACCAAACAGAGCCTGTAATTGCTCGGCGGACGACTCTAACGTGGTGGCATTGTTATGTTCATGTACCATAACGCCGTCGGTTTGACGGATTTGCAAGAACTGTGGGTTAGTGGTGGCGCGGATCTGTTGCACAAGCAATTTGCTGTCTTCATCGTGGAAGTTTTTCAGCAGCTGGTTCAGCGCAAGTTGTTGCGTATCAATAAGCTGTTGATATTGCGTCGCAGCATTACGGGTAAGTTGCAAACTACTGACGGCGAGAAACGCCACGGCCCCAATGAGTTGTAACAACCAAACTAGACGAAATTTATTCATGGCGATGTCGTAACCTAGGCTGAATGCATCAGCTGTAAAAGGTAACAAATAGAAGATTGTCTAATTAAAACAAAAAATTGGCAGAAAATAAATCAATTAGCGCAAGTCAGCAGCAGTTAGCACGTATTTTTAGTGGAGTACAATGATGCTATTGGAGGAGAATAATTGATGTGAATGGCTCCCCAGGTTGGACTCGAACCAACGACCTACGGATTAACAGTCCGCCGCTCTAACCGGCTGAGCTACTGAGGAACTGTCTCGCAACGGGGGGCAATACTAATGCTGGTACCGCACGCTGTCAACACTTTAAACCAGCGAAAAGCATTGTTATGAATCACTTGCTGATTGTTTGCGCAAATTGATTATTTCCATAGCAGCCGCTTCGTGATGCACGATGCAGAGTCTGTGGTGCTGGCGATAGAATCACGACTAGTTGTACACAAGCGCGCAAAGCCAAGCAAGGCGCGGCCTCGCGATAGTTGTGCACAGATTCTGTGGATAACTCTGTGTACGACTCGTGTGATGCCTGTGCAACCTCAGAGAATTCAAGGTGCGCAGCCAGATCAAGAGGTTTTACATAAAAAATAAAAGTCAATAAAAACAATAAGATAGGTAGTTGCCATCCAATACTGTTTCGCGTAACCGATGCCACTTCGCTCAGATGATCGCCAGATGGCAGTTGTGAACTATTTTTCCAGCAATCCTGTCGGTTGTGCTGATTTTTTGCACGAACCCTTAGCCTGTACACGGCCAGGGAGTACGTCTATACAGCCGTGTACGCGTTGCCGCCGACAAATTTTCGAGAAGCGATAGAGCTCATCTGCGCTTTTTACTACAATGGCCGCTTTCTTTTTCTGTAGTGATGACCGCGACCTTGCAAAAGTTAGATATGACTCAAGGCGATATCCGCCATATGTTAAAGCAGATGACGGTGCCGATGCTGTTTGGCATGATCACGTTAATGTCGTTTAATTTAGTCGACACCTTTTTTATCAGTATGCTGGGCACGCATGAGCTGGCCGCGGTTAGCTTTACGTTTCCTGTTACCTTTACTGTGATTAGTTTGGCGATCGGCTTGGGGATAGGCACCTCGGCGGTGATCGCAAAAGCGTATGGCAGTGGTGACCACCAAGCCGCCAAAGCGGATGGTTTAGCCGCATTATGGTTGTCGACCTATTTAGTGGCGGCGTTGTCGCTGGTTGGTTTTTTGAGCATTGAGCCTTTGTTTCGGTTACTCGGCGCTGACGATACCACCTTGCCTTTTATTCATCA